GGTGCATCGTACAAAATAACACAAGAACTAAAAAAAACATAACAAGACTATGACACAGATAAATATACTGTGTAGTAAGTATAAGAGTTGCAGTCTTGGCAGTGGACTTTGCAGTGCTTTCGGCTTGATGCAGAGTCAATGGACAAGCATTAGTTCAGGTAGACACAGGCAGTCACAGCTCATTGCCATGCCAGCCCACATCAGCTGACATCTCATTGTATGCTTGAATTATCCTTTAGCAGGAAATCCAAGTCATAGCTTACAACATAACCCCTCCAAACCCTACGCTGTAACCTTCCACACCAATCAGAGGTGCTGCGGGCTGCATCAGCCTGATTAGTAGTTGCATTTCCTTGGAGGTGTGCATCAGGTTAAAGTTACCCCGCAGGGTTAAGAGGCATTTCCGGGTTATTTGCTGCTAAAGCACAACTTAGGCATTATAGTGCATGGTTTAAGCTACTTTAGTTTGCCCACAGTTGCTGCACATCTGCAGTCCACTCCACTGCAACCCACCTCTGGCTCAGCCGCTCAATTTCATGTTTAATCTCTCTCGTATTTGTTGTTATTGATGCATGCTCTGTTATGAGGTGGGACTCTTAATGCTTCTCTCCAAGTGAGGGATGTAAAACACCTCAGATACTAAAACTTTCCTAATTGAAACCATGGGTTTCACCTTTAAATGAAAACACCACTAGTAACGGACATTTTTCCATGAGTGAATGGAATGATTGGACTTCTGTTGTGTATTTTGTAGGGCCCTGCGTTGCAGGCGTGGTGGGTCTGACTATGCCTCGGTATTGCCTTTTTGGAGACACCGTGAACACTGCCTCTCGTATGGAATCCACTGGCCTGCGTACGTGCGATCTTTGCTGCATCGTGGCATGTTTAGGTTGACTCTGTTGTCTGTATATTGTCTTTATATGCGCTTTATCCTATCCTCAGCTTATAGAATCCATGTAAATATGAGCACAGTGAAGATCCTCCGCTCTCTTAACGATGGTTATAAAATAGAAGTCCGAGGAAAGACAGAGCTTAAGGTAACACTTTGGGAAGGACTTACTTATTTACTAAAAGTCCGACTGCACAGCTCTGAGTTGTTCTTTTTGTTGCAGGGTAAAGGTATTGAGGAGACATACTGGCTTGTGGGGAAAACCAACTTTACAAAGCCTTTGCCAAAACCACCAGAGATTAAACCAGGGTAAGAGACCGAGTCTCGCTTTTCATTCGCTCACTGCACCGTCACAACAGCTGAATTTAAAGGGAAATAATGAAATGTGTGCGATTGTCACAATTTGCCATTGAAGTCAGATTCGTGAGTCACTTGTAAACATCTTTTTTTTTTCAGATATATTTTCAGAAATGTTGCTTTTCATTAGTGTGATGCACACATGTAACTTGTGTCCTGCCACTCATGCAAACTGCAACTATCCACATGTTGCTTCAGGCAAGACAATCACGGGCTGAACCCTGAGGAGATAGCTGCATACAGGAAAAACAAAGCCGAGAAAAAGGCTTGACCTTCTTAGTCCATACACAGGAGGTATAGACCTGCATGCCAGCTGGTGTTGTGCTGTAAAGTGCTACCGTGATGAGATTGTGCGCATAAATTTCCCTTATAGATATCTGGATCTCACAAATTGCTTGTGGTCTGGCAGTGCCACATTAATCTTTTGATCTTGTCGTATCTTCTTAAGCAGATTGGGGAAAGCCCTCTTTGTTTAGTGCATTCGTTTTCATTGTGGCTGGCTGGTGGTTTGTTTTTGTTTTTTTAAATTTACTGTGTTTGTAGCAGCTCTCGTTGTGTTTTTGTGGATCCTAGAGCACTCCCTAAAATTGACAACTGCACAAATTACAGCCATGATTTTAACACCTTACTCTGTGTCAACTAGGGACAACTGGCAAGAGATGGTGACAGAGGAGATCAAGACTCATTTCCGCAAGGCCAACAGGCAGGTGGACAAAAAGTTGTGAAGGCAAGGAAGAGAAGGAGAAATGTGGAGCAAGCAAAACTAGAGGAGAGGAAAGGAGAGGAGAAAGCATCAGGAGGAGTAAGCATCCATCCAAATAGAGACAAAGAGCTGGGAGGGGCACGCAGAGGACAGAGAGCACCACCCAGCTTCTCACTGTGGCTTAAGGCAGACTTCTTTAAGAGGATTGTCCATCGACCGGCTAATCTGCCTGCAGCCAGCGCAGCAAAACACAACGGTGCTAATGTAATGAGAGTTACCTGCCTACGTACCTGCTGCCAGAATCACGGGGAAGGTGCACCACTCCTTCATGATGGATGCACTCGCTCACTCCTCTCTGCACTCACCGGCCACTGCGTGGTCACCTATTACAGGGCAATCAGAAGCTCACTTGCTGGAAAATTTGAGTGCCCCAAACGCCTATTTCAAAATGAAATGTTATCTTTTTTTCTGGTGATTTTATCTGTTTTTAGTTTGTTATAAAGCTCATAATATAGTTGTCGAGACTGTTACTTAGCTGTGGCTGAATTCTAAAACTGGTTAGCCATTCAAAGTTTGAGGCAAAAGCTGCTACTGTATGAAAATAACAAGATGAGAGGAAAAAAAGAAAGGGGTCGATCAGTTTTTTTTCTACTGTCTTGAAGCACATGACAAAGTACATTTAAGCCCATGCCTACAGTTTTTTTTCTTGAAATATTTAACAAGTATAAATAAGGAAAAGTACGACTCATTTTTATTTCGGTCATGAGGAGGAAAATGGCCACTTCCTTTAGTGAAACATGTCACTGTTTCTAATGTGCTTAGTGTCATTTTAACATCTATTGTCGGCACTCAAAACTCTAGTTAAATGAATCCGCCTTAATGTTCTGTTTCTGATGAGGTGCTCAGTAAGACGATACAAATAAGATACATGTTGAAAATCTATAACAGACCCAGTGAAAAATTCTCAATGATGTCAGACATTTTAAACCTGTAAAGCCTGAATAATGAAAAACATCAATAAATAAAACTGGAGAGATTATTCAACCTTCCGATGAATTAATAGAAGACATTGAATATCAGTTTGCATATACGAGCTTTAACTTGTATCATGTTTAATACATAAGGCGTTTTTGTGAAATTTATTGCTCACAGGCACACTGTATGTGTGTCGACTGTATATACATCAGGCTTTACGGGGGAAAAATCAAAAATGTAGAGAAAACATTGTTTTTATTCACATCAACCAAAATTCCAACCAAACTTTTATTATTATTTAATTATTATTAACACACGTGAATTTGTAATCATGTGTCAAGTGTCACATGGTTTCTTTAAAAGATAATGGTCCCATGTATATAACCTACACATATATATCCAGGACAGCAAGGAGTAACAGATGAACAGCACCACCTTCCGGTTCAAAGTAAATTAGCAAGTAAATACGATGTTATATATATA